ACGCAGCAGGTAGCTCAATAGAAGTAAGTGCTACAGAGATATTCTTATCAGGAAACAGCCTTACATGAAACTCTGAAGAATTTTCAGCTACAGCAGCAACCAACAATCTTCACAAGCTAAACTGGACACCCAGTCACATTTCTTTGTGATAGACGAGAATAGCAGAAGATTATTCAGATTACTCAACCTGGCCTTGGAAGCAACAGGTTAAATTGTAATCTGTCCAGAATATTTTCCCCACAGTATCAAACTGCTATCTGAGCAGGAGTAAAGGATTACAACCATAATTTACAGGAAGTTCAAAACAACAAAATATACCACAAAATTTGCAGAGGTTGCTGTGATGGAGATCAGTATGTGTATAGTTTAGCATCTCAGGGAATCTGCATATTTAGCATGCAACTGTTCTGTTTCATGGAATAATATCAGAAAAGAGTTCCAGATGAGGTCACTTCCAAATTTCCAATTATATGCTTTCAGGTTTCTTCACTTTTTCTTCCATATTAACACAACCCTGATTAGGAGAAAAATGTTTGTTTGTTTGATTGATTGATTTGTATGTCACCCATCGCATGTAGAAGTGCTATATTAATGAGATGCAGAATGTCTGAATTGGAGTGATTCAAATGGATGAATTTGTAATGCACCGGTATTTTAATCATATTGTATACTATCCTTCCCAACCTGCTGATGGTATCCAGAAATATTAGAATACAATGAGAAATTTTAGCATCTGAAGCACAATCCAATACTTCTAAATGAATTCAACTTCTAGTATTAAATTCTGTATATGCAACCTATATTAGTTTTCTCTTTTGGAAACTGTAGTATAATTTACATGCCACGTTTTGTGGTGGAATAATCATTGAGGAACTCACTTTAATAGCTTTTTAATTTCAAAGAATTAAGGCAATTGAACTGATTACATAATAATTCCCTCCCCCACTTCTGTATTACTGACATTTTTTCCCAACAAAACTCCTTTTAAAGAACATATACCATTTTTCTAGGCTCAGGTAAAAATGTTTTAAATAATAATATGTGTGGGTAAGACAGGGATTGGTACATTTGCTTCAAAAACTATTATTTTTTTCAGTAAAAATCATTATTGGCGCAACTGTATGTATATATGTATATGTGTGTGTGTATGTACTATATATGTATATGTATACACTAACCTGCCATACTGTATTCTAACCACTTCGCCACCACAGTTCATTAAAGGAGAGAGCTTTACTTTATTCTTGCTTGAGCAGCAGGTTGGATTAGATGTCCAAGGTCTCTTCCAACCCTGTTTTTCTGTGTCATTCTTTCTTAATTTAAATGAGTGGGCTTGCAATGTTGATGCATATGCAAAAGGGGCATGGTCTTAATCCTAATACTGTATCCATTATCTTAATTCTTTTTATCTTCTAACCCTAGGGATGCTATTGCTACAGAAGGGAGGGAGGGAGGGAGGAAGGGAGGAAGGGAGGAAGGAAGGAAGGAAGGAAGGAAGGAAGGAAGGAAGGAAGGAAGG